ATTTCAATGCTTTTTACTCCGTTTTTATGGCCACAAACTTATGACCCATAAGTCTCTGATAGGAAACAAAATAATGGCTCAGAAAAAATGCACAAAAAACATATAACAATAGAAAATAAATTAAAAAATTATCGATATTTTGTTGTAAAATTGAATTTTGTTTTGTTTTATAACAATAACTATATTTTATAGAAGATTTGATAATAGCCTAAAATTATACACAATTTGTATTTTTGCTTTTGTTTTTTGTCTTCAATTCATATATAATATAATAATTACTAAATTAATATCAATTTAGTCGCAAACCAATGGGTTATTTGAGGTCCATCTCTGCGAGCTCTCTCTCCAGTTCCTCTTCATCTATGTTAATGCCATCGCCGCCGACCACTTCAAACTCTTGCAGATCTCGAGAGAGCTCTTCCTCCAGATCTGGTGGTGAAGACATCGGAACAGTTGATGGAAGGGATGCATGAAATACATAGAAATCGATTAATCGATTTGTCAAACGGATAATAAGGAGAGGAAGTGTAAGTCACAAGAAAAATAACATATAAACTCATCGCTCAGTTCTCTCTCTCTCTCTCTCTCTCTCTCTCTCTCTCTCTCTCTCCAGAATCCGGAATACATTATAGGAATAAATTCAAAAAAAACTGAAATAACAAAAATATTTTGCGCTCAAAAAACGTGAAATTTATGCCCAATTTCTGAATAACAAAACATAATACATATCGCATTCAATTCATACATAAATATATAAATAACTTATAATCAAATAAAACACTCGATGTGTTTATGTAAGTGAACACAAACTGCAGATCTCTATATCTCTATAATACAGATGTCTAATCATATTCGTAAGCGTTTAACTAAACATAATATACTATACAATCAATTCGTATTAATTATAATAAATCAATATTAACTCAAACATTGCGATTACAAGCAAACAAATGCATTAAATGAAACAAAAATCTGTTCACTCTATCGATAATCACATAATTAACAAACGGAATACATTACTAGTATATTCTCTAACCTGTGATTATTCTTCAAATAGAAAGCAATTTAAATAATTAAAAATTTTTAATTAAGTTAAACCATCAAAATAGTGAAATAGTCATTAAATCTAAGCAACGATTAATTAATATATATTAAGTAATTTATATATCAATAAAAATAGCAATTGAAACGAAATGGTAAAGTGTTTGTTATAACGGTTAAAGAAGTGGCAATTGTTGTGGAAATTCAAAGCCAAACAGAAAGTGGCAAATAATTGATTATTATATAACTCTATGAATAAATACAAACAAAACATAATACATATCGCATTCAATTCATACATAAATATATAAATAACTTATAATCAAATAAAACACTCGATGTGTTTATGTAAGTGAACACAAACTGCAGATCTCTATATCTCTATAATACAGGTGTCTAATCATATTCGTAAGCATTTAACTAAACATAATATACTATACAATCAATTCGTATTAATTATAATAAATCAATATTAACTCAAACATTGCGATTACAAGTAAACAAATGCATTCAATATAAAACAAAAATCTGTTCACTCTATCGATAATCACATAATTAACACACGGAATGCATTACTAGTATATTCTCTAACCTGTGATTATTCTCCAAATAGAAAGCAATTTAAATAATTAAAAATTTTTAATTAAGTTAAACCATCAAAATAGTGAAATAGTCATTAAATCTAAGCAACGATTAATTAATATATATTTAGTAATTTATATATCAATAAAAACAGCAATTGAAACGAAATGGTAAAGTGTTTGTTATAACGGTTAAAGAAGTGGCAATTGTTGTGGAAATTCAAAGCCAAACAGAAAGTGGCAAATAATTGATTATTATATAACTCTATGAATAAATACAATAGCCGCAAACCACTTGAATGATTGCAAAACACCGCTAATAAAAACACGATATCTTAATTGTGTTCAAAACTCTCTCTCTCGTAATGAGACGAGAAGTGAATACATTATGCAAAAGCCATAATTACCGGATATGTATGGGTCTATATGTGGTGCGGCTCTCAAGCATTATAATATGGGTTAATAATCATAATGTATTGCATAAGGCTTTCAATAGTCATTTGTTTTGATAAGAAAATTAGTTCATATAAATGATAGCAAGTCTTAGAGTTGTTGCAGAGATGGGGGCTTTTCATCGGTTTCGAGAAAACTAGTGCTCCGGAAAAATAGTGATATCGATCCGTATGTATGGTAAGAGTCACGAGAGAGAGAGAGAGAGAGAGAGAGAGAGAGAGAGAGAGAGAGAGAGAGAGAGAG